ATATAAGGCTGCAATAAGGAAGAGATATACAAGTTCTAATGGACTAGCTGAATTTTTAAAATGGATCTTAAATGTTGGAGATGGTAAGATATGTGAACTAAATGATGGATTGGTTGAGATAGAGATTCCTCAAAAATTATTGATATCCAATTTTGATGATCCTATAAAAGCTATTGTTGATAGCACATATCACAATTTACATGATAATTTTCAAGATGTTGGATACTTACAAGGAAAAGCTATTTTTTCGTCAACTATTGAAGTTGTGAACAAAATCAACCGCTATGTACTGGATATGGTACCGGGTAATATAAGTTTAACTTTAATATATATATATATATATATATATATATATATATATATATATATATATATATATATATATATATATATATATATATATATATATATATATATATATATATATATATATATATATATATATATATATATATATATATATATATATATATATATATATATATATATATATATATATATATATATATATATATATATATATAAAACAAAAAACTTATATCATGTTGGTTTTATTTATGTATTAATATTTTCACTTTATGATATTTTTTAGGAGAAGAGAAACAATATCTAAGTTTTGATTCAATTGATAGAACCGATACAATTTATATTGAAGCTTATAAAGTTCTAACCCCGGAATTCCTAAGTAAACTAAGAACATCGGAGCTTCCAAATCATATGATCAAATTGAAGGTTGGTATCCCTATCATGCTAATGAGAAATTTGAATCAAACTGATGGATTGTGCATGGAATATGATTAATTGTTACAAGGTGAGAAAATCACGTCATTGAGGCCAAAATTATGTCAGGAAAGAATATAGGTAACATTTTTTACATTCCTCAAATGTCCATGTCACCTTCTGAGTCACTGTGACCATTTAAGTTAATTAAGAGACAATTTTCAATCATTGTCTCATATGCAATAACAATTAATAAATCCCAAGGTCAATCGCTTGATAATGTTGGATTATATTTGCCTACACCTGTTTTTAGTCATGGACAATTGTATGTTGTAATTTCGAGAGTTACAACTAAAATGGTCTTAAAATCTTAATACATGACAAGCATAATGCACCGTGTTCGACCACTACGAATGTTGTATACAAGGAAGTCTTCCAAACACTTTGTTAGTTGGTAATCATTTTCATCTATTCCTTTGTGATACAAATTAAATCCCAATGTTTAATTTATGTGTTTAAATACAACATATTTACATTAGTTTTTAAAAAATGCATAATATTTAATATATAATTTGATATATTTGTTCATGCAGATGTATGATGCGAGTCGTTGTTGTTGGTTGGTTCATTTATTGACAAGTTCAACTATGAAATATATAATATTGAGAAGTTTATATTTGGAATTATAATGCTGAAAAATTTATGTATTATTAATGCAAGTCATGTCAATTTTGTTGTTTATTATACTATTTAATTCAAAATTAATTACATTTTAATTATTTTTTATTAATTTTATTTTGACATGAGATAGAACTTTACAAATCAATATTAAATCATGCGATATAAAAATCAGATTTCTCATTAGTTATTATATATATATATATATATATATATATATATATATATATATATATATATATATATATATATACTTTAATTAATCTTATCGATATTTTTATCTTCCCTACCGGAAACATCGAATCTCCTAATCTTATCGGTAACACGGTATGCTTACATATTATTGAAATATTAAAGCATCAAATTGTAAAGTAGCCCTTTTTAATAAATGATTAGGTAGCTTTCTTCACCCATATATGCATCCCAAGTAAGAGGCAGAAACAATTGGGATGATAAAGATAACTAACACTAGTAAAGTTATCATCAAATACATTTTTAATGGGCACTTTTAAAGATGGGAGAATCATGAACTCTAGCATTCAGAAGAATGTCATTATGTCAATAATAATAACTAGACCGCTCTTTATCCTTTTCAAAGGTTAGTATGAAAATTGAGAGACGAAAATATTTCTCTCATAAAAATGTCTTTTTTAATAAGATTAAATAAGTTTTTAAGTATTTTTAAATATTTTAAATTTCATTTTTAGTTTTTTTTAAATTTTTTTTAAATAATAATCTTTCTAAAAAATTAAAATTTAATTTTTGATCCCTCCTATAATTTAACAACGGTTTTTATAATTTAACGACGGTTTTAACAACAATTTTTATTTAGCGACAAAATTACAGATTATTTTAACTACGATTTTGTTATGAGTGACCAAAAATTAGAATTTAATTTTTTAGAAAAATCATTCTTTAAAGAAAAAATTTAGAAAATTAAAAGCAAAATTTAAAATATTTAGAGACTAAAAACTTATTTAATTTTTTTAATATATATAATATTCTATAACAACTACGATGATTAATTTTTTTCTAAATAAGACTTCTAAAAAGTAACAATTTCATAATTTGAAATGGAAAACAATATATTAATTTATCTATCTAAACTCTCTTTTAAATAAACATGATTTTTCTTGGATCTATAATTTAGATTATGTTTTTTTTATAGATTATAGAATTCAAATATCAAAAAGAGTACAAGGAGTATCCTCCCTCCGAATTACAAATCTCTTAGAGTAGCTTAGTTGAGTCCAAAGGACTTTGGTACCATGGAAAAAAAAATTAATTATTTCGATATTATTGATACACTTGTTCTTAAGTCATTAAGTTTTTAGCGTCATCGTCGGAGATTTTTGATATTTTCGACAAGGCAACGTTTGAGCAACAATTTTGTTTAGTTTTAATTTTTTTTTTGTTTTAATTTAATTTTTGTTACGCACTACTACTAAGATATTTTGTTTGTGTATGTGCAGTTCAGGATCAGAATTGATACTGCTAGATCTAGAAATTAAGAGAACCGCACGAGAAAATAGGAAATATGCTAGAGAAGAAATTCTAGCACAAGAGACGTTAGTAGAGGAAAATCCAATTGTTTCTTCGGATAGTGAATCAGACGAATAAGTTATGACTGACCTACCATTACCTCAAACTATGGGGACTCTTGCAAACAGACCGATGCAGGGCAAATATCGAGAGGTTTTTTACCTGCTAACCCTTCTAATTTTGATATTAAGAATTTTGTGCTTTCAGGTCTAAGGGACAATCCTTTTGATGGAAATGTAATTCGGGATATGTGGGAGCATCTTGCTCGCTTCCATGAAACAACCTCAATGTACATACCAACTAATGCTATTAAAGGTCAAGTAAAGTTGAGGTTGTTTAGATTCTCGTTGATAAGAAGGGTCAAGGATTGGTTATTGTGTCTTCCTAATGGTACAATCGAAACTTGGAAAGATTTAGATGACAAGTTCCTGAAAAGATTCTTCACCACCACGCAGCTTACTGAAAGAAAAACCGAAATTATGAATTTTGAACAACAAGAGACAAAATCTCTTTATGATTCCTGGGATAGGTTTAAATTGTTACTATGCATGTGTCAAAATCATAACCTTAGTAGCATGGATAAAATGCAGAGCTTTATCAAAGGGCTCAGAAGTCAAACATGTATGTTGTTGGATGCTTTCGCATGAGGCACAATCAAAACGGTGAACGAAGCTCAGGTAAGAGAGTTAATTAAAAATATGTGTTTGAATGAATACTGCTCAAAAGGTGAGAGGAATGTTAAGGTTGAACCTACAGGTACACTAAAAGATATGATAACTTTAGATGCTCATACTTCTTTATTATCTCAAATTTAATTATTAAATAAAAGGCTAGTTGAAAGCAGCCTAAATCAAGCTAACATGAGTCGGGTACAAGGTCTAAATTTTGATTTATGCGGGGAAGGACGTGCAAACGAAATGTGTACTACATAGGGATCTAGCGAAGAAACACGGTTTATAAATTTTCAGAGGAATAATCCATATTCTAACTCATACAATCCATAGTGAAACGACCATCCAAACTTCAAGTGGAGTAACAATCAAACACCAACTGCAAACCAAAATACTCTGAAAGCTCCAGTTCAGAGGAAATCATCACCTCTTGAAGATACTTTGCAGAAGTTTATTCAAGAAACCCAAAGTAGCTTTAAACAGGTAAGAAAACAACATGAAAACATGAGTAAGAACCATGATGCATCCATAAAATATTTAGAGATACAAATTGGTCAATTTTCCTGCCAAGTGGCTGCATTACCAGAATCTAGTGGGGGGTTCAATGGTAATACTGTTGATAATCTTAAGAATGAAACATGTAGGACTTCAGATCGGGGTTTGAGAGGAACACCAATGGGGAAAAGGATGAGATAGTGAAAGAAGTAGGAGTTGAGAGTGAGAATGAAGTGAGTGAAAGTGCAAGTGATTCCTCTGGAAAAGGATTCACCATTGATCAACAGATAGACAAAAACTCACCCTTGAGGAGGACTAATAAACAGATCCTGAATGACCCTGGTCCTAAATTGCCCCACTATATCGAACCATCATATCCTATCATTAAAAAGAAACCAAAGGTGAAAGACAAGGCGGGGTTATTTTAAAATTTCAAGGAAATGATTGCTAAGCTTCGGGTAAGTATTCATTTCAGTGAATTTTTGGAACTAATGCCTAAATATTCTAATTTTATGAAGGAATTCATCTATGGTAAAAAGAAAGATAAAGAAGGTGAACAGGCAGATGCACTAGACAAGTGCAATTCTATATTGCAAATGAATATCCCTCCTAAAGGAAAGATCTAGGTAAGTTCACTATTTCTTGTGATATTGGGGAATTTAAATTTCCATATGTGATATTAAGGTATCCATAGGGTACGAGTAATTATATATTGCCTGAGTTCCTACTCATCCAGATGATGTGAAGATCAACCCTAAAGCACTCATCAACGCTTCATCAATTGGAAGAATCTAGTGTAATCGATAAATGAGAGCTCAATCAGAACAATACAACAATCAAGCAAAAAACAAGGAAGAATTCTACCATTCAGACATTCAAAATCAGGAGGCACCTATGCAAAACAATCAACAAAATTATGAATTTCAAAGACTGGAAGCATGTGTCGTAGGAATCACAAGATGGGAAACAGAGCTTTCACCTACTTTATATGTTGACACCCCCTATTTTGATCTGGTATTTACCGACTTCTACAATCAACAGCAAGATCACATGCCCACAAGGAATTTAAGGTTTCATTTTGCAACTACTAAAGACATGGAGAATCACTTTTGAGCACAAGACATGGAACAAGAAAGAAGACGGGAGAAGAATGGGTAAGACAAAATGACGACTTCATCAACATAATGAGCAATGTGCAAGACTTTTTTCGTTAATAATTTGTGATGAAAAAGAATATGTAGTATTTTTAAATTTCAGCAAGTTTCATTAATTCCTAGGAGTTTAGTGAAGAAAAATAGCTAGTTATGAATCCTCTTCCCCATTGTATCTTTATCTTTGCTTGAAATTAATGAATAAGCTTCTGTTATTTCTTTCAGATTTACAAATAATTGCAATTGTAGCATTGAACAAATGAACCAAAGGCACCATCAAATAGGACTTCAACATCAGAAAAGCGAATTATGAATCAAAAGCGAAAGATGGAAGCAGAATCAACAGTATGGTACTCAATCTCCAGATATCTCAGCTAGTAAGGTTTGAGCCAAATATTTCCATTGTTAAACATTTCTTTCTTTGAGTGTAGACATGTTTTACTGTTTTATCAAGTTTAAACTATTTCCAACTTAATTTGTCTAGTTTGAATTACACACATTGAGGTTGTTTCTTGTTTAAACTCTGAGCCTTTTAAGCCAACCTATATAATTATGAATATCCTTTGCTAACCACTTTGAGCCTGGCCTTTTATTTTAGTGACATAACCACATTTGTTATCCAATTGACTTGAAAGATTAAATCTTTCCACCCGCTCTTTGAAGTTAGGTAAAAAATTTAGTTTTTCTGTTGTAGGCAGAATAATAAGTTTGGAGTTGCTCTTGTAAGTGAGCAAAGTTTAAGTTTGGAGTTGGGGTACTAGAGATAGTGGTCAAAATTTCAAAAAATTTGAGAAAAAAATCAAGAAGTTAAAGCAACTTCTTAATAAAAAAAGAGAAAGAATGAAAAAGACACAATATAGACCACAAAAACAATAATTCTCTAGTACTAATAAGAAGGAAAAAAGTTGGCATGATAACAAAAGGAGAACTAGGAACCTAACTCCAAAGGTTTAAATGTACTTTCCCAAAAATATCCTTCCTTAACCTAAGCCACGTTACATTAAAAAATCCCTAAAGTATGAGTGTTTTTGCTTACCTTGATAAATTTTGTTAGAACATGATCAAACTTAGTATAAGCAGTTTTGTGTGATGAATGAGAGAATTACCCCGTCAATTGAGTTAATTATGGTGATATAAGAGACATGTTGAGTACTTGACAATATTGAGGATGTTTTCTGATTTTTTCGGATTGCAGTTAGAAGTTTGAATGGTGAGCAGGTAAGAAAATTAGTATTTGGTGATGTTCAATTATTACTGTTGTAGTTCGTATTTCTTTTTGGAATTTTGAGTTGCAAGCAAGTTACATGAGGACAAGCAACAAATTAAGTTTGGGCTTGTGATTACACTTTGTCATTGCATATATTTTGTCCAAGAATTGGACAAAAACAAGTCAAAGATCACTAAATTTGATGAATAATGGCCAAAGAATGAAGCAAAAATGACCAAGTATGAAGAAATGAGGACTTGGGGAAAATTGGCTGAAAAGGGAGCAAAAGTGTGCAAGTGACTGAAATAATCACCCCATCATTGCTTTCGTGATGGACCAAATAAAGTTGAAACATGCACGCGATGCAGTCCATGACGCGCATGATGGGCCCTTTTATGGGAACATTCTAACGCAATTTGACTGTTTCAGAAGGCTTTAAAAGGGGACTGTTGGCACTTTTTGAGGGTTCTGCGATTTTATACTGCAAATGATGATTTACAACATCGGAAGGCATGTTTAGAGTGAATTTGAAGCCATTGGACGCTTTCTTCAAGGGATATCTTATGCAAACCTTTAATTTATATTTAGTATTGTAATTTATTCATTATGAGTAGCTAATTATCTCTAGGTTAGTTTTGTAGGATGAACCTATTTTAATATTGTTGGGACATATGTTTCATTTGTTATTGAATGAATAATTTGAGTTATAATTATATTTGAAATTCTGGCAACAGATACTTAATGTCACAGTGAATGTTATGACACCGTATCTGACAAACTTGTAGACACTCCAAACAGTAATTTAAAATACAGTAAAGAACACAATCAATTGTTAACCCAGTTCAGTGTGTAAAAACACCTACTCTAGGGGCTACCAAGCCAGGGAGGAAATTCACTATAAGAGGTGTTAATTTAGGAATAAACCAACTAGTTTATCTCCTTCACTTAAGACCTACCCAATGCAACTTCAATCTAAGTCCAACTTAAACCTGAGTTCCTACTCACTCCCCCTCAATCACAGCAGTGATACTAATCTATTGATTGATGAAATTATGAAGGCATTCTTCAATACACATACTTGATTTTTCTTTAAATCTTTAATCAAGAGACATAATCACTCGTGCTTCAAAGCTTTGAGTGATAAACAACCCTTACTTGATTTTGCTTCAAAGCTTTAATCAAGAGACACAAACACTCGTGCTTCAAAGCTTTGAGTGATAAACAACCCTTACAACCAAATCCTACACCAAGTCACTTATCAAAACAATAATGCTTGGCTCACAGTAGTTACAACTATACAATGCCTTATTGATCTTCTGTCAAAAGTGCTGTTAACCATTAGGCTTCGTCGGGAATATATAAGCTGTCTATTCTTCTTTTAGGGCTTCCATAAAAATAGCTAGGGTTAACTAAAGTTAACCTAAAGACTTGGTCTATGGCTTTTTCATGACAGATTAGAGTTAAGCAAGGTTAACCTAATGTCCACGTGAGCAGCTGATCTGGACAAAAGTTCTTCAACTCAGAGAAGCACACCAGTTTCCTGAAAATTCTCAGGAATAATAAATCTGCACAACAACTTGATCAGTACAGGATGTCTTAACATTGGTTATGACATCATGAATCTTGTTCACTGATTTTGGTAGAATTCAGTATAGCTTAATGATAATCACTCATACTGAGTAGTTGCTGTAGAACATTCTTTATGTAGAATGTACCTTTATCCCGGAATGTTATGACATCAGTCATGACATTCGTAAGTCTGGTTTTACCAAAAAATAATGCCAACAAACACTTACAAACTCCCCCTTTGGCAAATTTTTGGCTAAAACCCCTAAACAATCAGAGATTAGAATGCATCAGAATTTTTTTAATAACAGCTACCAATATCTAATTCTACCAAAATTACCATAATTTATTCTCCCCCTTTTTAGCCATAAAGAGGCCAAAGATACTTGTACTTTAAGTTATACAGTCATCCAAAAGGAAATTAAAAAAAAAACACAGAAATAAAGAGAAGGTGTCATTTGGCAGCAACAAGTTCCAGCAACAATCATTTCAGCAAACACAGACCTTTAGGTACTGTTATCTCCTGAGGAAGCACTATTTTCAGCAGCATTATGTTGGTCTTCATCAACATCCTCTTCCCTCATTTGTTCTTCATTCACCTCCTATTCCAGTCTAGCAATCAGCTCTTCAAGCGTCCTTCTTCTTGCATCAAGCTCTCTGCAGGTTTCTTTTAGAGCAGCTATAACATCAGTTTTCTTGGAATGAGCTTTGACATTTGATGTCTCAACAGATGTCATAACAATGTCAGGGACATGTGTTCCCTGAAACAGCTTATAGTGAAAACCAAGTGCAGGGACTCTTTTGCACACAGAGTCTTTTTCAATCAGGATATCAGGATACTGATCAATGATTATACCACACATGAGAGAGGGAAAGGCAATAGGGCCTTTAATAGCATAGATCTCAGCATGTTTCAATGTTTGATCAAAGATATAGTTTCCATAATCAAAGTTTGTTCTGGTTCCAACAACATAGATAAATCTTCCCAAACCTGTGGAAATGGTGGATTTGTGGTTGGTGGGAACCCAGTTAGCTGCACCAATTTTGTGCAGTATGGAAAACTTCATACTCAGATTACTTGCAGTTAGCTTCCCTTTCGAGGGCCAGTGCTTGACTTTCTTGGCAGTGATGGTTTGACAAACCTTCCTTCCTATCACATAAACGCTCTTAAAATCAGCTGACTTTCCATCAGTACAACCACCAGACAAATTTACTATGAATTCTTTGACAAGAATCTCATAGAAGTTGGAAAACTTGACCACTGTTTTCATCCGGCCAGCAGCTTTGATTAGATCCATGACTTCCTTACACTCAATAGCACTTATGTTCAGCTCCCTCTCCAAGGCAATCCTTTTCAGAAACACATACTTCCACCTGCTTGCATTTTCTGGATGGTGAAAGGAGATGTTGTCAATGGCAACTTCAGGAACCTTAGGCAGTTTGCTAGAAGAGGGTTTCTTCCTGAGAGGAATGTCTGGAACATTGCTCTCAACATCAAAATCAAAGTCTGATTCCTCATCAGATTTAAAGGGTTCAGGATCCTTTCTTTTCTTGGCTATAGGTTGTCTCAAGGGTTTTGAGAGACTACCAACAGATACCCTAGCTTTTACCTTACCCTTCCCTTTCGAAGTTCCAGTCTTCTCAGCTTTGTTCTCAGGCCTCGCCTTCTCATGAACCACTTCAGTAGCCTTCCCTTTGGAGGGGCTTTGAGTAGCATTTTGCTTCTCTTTTCTACTCATCATCCTTATAGCTATGCTAGGGTTGATATTGGCAATTAAATCATTGTCAGAGAATTCTTCATCAACATCAATGACAGGAGGTTCAACAGCCTTGTCAGTAGGGTTCTGGTGACCATCAGGTTTTTCTGGAGATTTTCCAATGTTGTCATCAGGTGTCTCAACATTCTGAGTGACATATGGATCCCTTTCTACATTAGGGCTAACAGTTTCTTGGTTCAATGGTACAGATATGCCAGGAACAGAGTGATTCTCATTAAGAATCCTAGTGACTAGTCTGGCAATAGCTTGATGCACATAAGCAGAACCTTCCCTATTAGCTATCTCTGGAGGAACAGAAGATGATGGTTGAGAAGTTTTACCTGATGGAGAAGCTTGTGATCTTCTTGCATGTCTGGTTCGCAGCTTCTTGACCTTAGTGGGATCAGCTGCCATTTCACGAAGTGGAGTTATCTCAAGAACATCAGCATCCATGCAGTTTACGATTGCGCTAGGTTCGGTGTCAGAGGGTGAGGAAGATGCAGTTGCCTTTGATGAAGATGATGACACAGATTATTGAGACATCTTGAGAGATTGAGAAAACAAGTGACAGCGTGTGTGAAATCTTCTTTTGAGGGAATGGAGAGTGTTGCAGAAAAAAAAGAAGAGGGAGATAAAAGTATGTCTATTCCACTTCTTAAGATTTTGGAAAGAAAGAGGGAAACAAATGATCAGACCAATCAGAATAGACTTGACTAAAATATCTCTTTCATCC